AAAAAAAAAAAAAAAAAAAAAAAAAAAAAAAAAAAAAAAAAAAAAAAAAAAAAAAAAAAAAAAAAAAAAAAAAAGAAAATAACAGTTATTGGTGATTGTATCAGCATTTATCTCTTATGTAAGAAACATTGGTATTGGCTTCCAGAGAGAAGGAGCCATGAGCTCTTACTTATCTTTTCTGTATTAAAAATAATACCTTTTTAAACAAGAAAAAGGAAAAAAAAATACCCTTTTAACTTTAAGATAATTTTAAAATCTGAGTCCTTTCACTTCAGTGCACTAAACTGAAAGTCAATGACATTTTGGAGGGGGGTAACACTATAGATACAAAACAACAAGATTGTTTCTGGAATTTCCTGAGCCCCTCAACTCATCAGTTTGTTGGTTGTTTAAACAGAAATTTAGCCGTCCTTATGGTAAGAGAGTAAGTATTTCCATGGTACAACCAAAATTTGAGAGTATTTCTATGGTCCAACCAAAATTCGCAGTTACTTTGTTTCTCACTTAGTTTCTCCCTCCTGAAACTTAGAGAGTAGGAATGTATGTCCTTCATATTGGAGATTATAAAATTAAATTTTAATGTTATACTTGGATTTGGTGTATAAACTGACTGCATTAGTCCCTATAACTAAGGTGCCAGCAAGATCTTTGCATTATAGCCTGCATATATGTGAGTATGTCCACACCTGTACCTTATCAATACCAAGGTTTTTATTTTTATTCTGTAGCGTATGTATGCTAATAAAGTCTCTAAACACCATCTATGTCTTTTTAATTAAAAAAGTATTTTAATGTAATGCAATACATTTTGAAGACATGTAGTCAATGTGCATTTTGTGAACTAAGTGGAAATCAATACATAAAATTACATAACCGGTAATACAACTTAAATTTTCTTTCTTTTCTTCTCTAAATTAAATCCTTTCAACCTGTTGCCTGAATCTATCCAAAAATATAATCACATTTTAAAAATAATTTGTAGGTACTTGGCAGATTTTCAGCACACATCTTGTTCTCATTGTTTAAAACTTGAAATGTTAGGACTTTAGTCTTAATGTCTTTTAATAGCTGCATATTATACATGTGCTTAATCTATAACAGGTGTGTCATATTTTTCTCAAACATGGTAATTTTATCGAGGATTAAGCACATGCATGTTCTCACTGGTCTGGAAACATATCCAAAAAGACATATAATTAAATAAAAGATTAAGACGAGAAATTGTTAATATACTTTTTAAGAGTCATTTTACTGACTATTGTTATAACTATTTAGCTTGTCAATTCTTTCTCTAACACTAAGGTAGTTTTTCATTTTGTTGCATACTCTATTGTCATATCTGGAATGTGTTATATTGCCATCTAAAATCAACTGCTTTGGGGACCTGGAGATGATTATGATGTCACTAGTGTTAGGGAAAAAAATAATATAAAGCAGAAGTTCAAGATGAGGCTTCTCCAGACTTAATGTCAAGAATGGAAAAAAAAAAAAATAGTTCATCAGGATGCAACCCGAGATTCACCTCTGCATCTTTACCAAAAGAATGCACACTTGAAGAATGTGGAATTCCTGCTTGTAAACTGAATACAATGTGGGTATGTTCATTTTCACGGCACTTTCTGGTAGATGATTTTATTTATTATCAAATGGTTAACATCCTAACTCAAAAGCATGGATTAGGTAATCAGTCACATGATTTGACTTTTGGGAGTATAAGTACTTTTACTTTACTCTGTATTGATTCTACTATTAACAAATTGTCAATGCTCTGAAGTTTTCCTTTAGGGGCACAGCAAATGGGCCTCTGTTTTCTTTTCTTTTTTTTTTTTTTTTTATTTTGGTGTTTTTTTGTCTCCCTCTTCAGGACGAGACACCAATGTCTTGGTGTACATCAAAAGAAGGCTAGCAATGTGTGCCAGAAGACTCGGGAGGACCAGGGAAGCAGTGAAAATGATGAGAGATGTGAGTTTAAGTTTGTGTTTGAGATCAGTGGCTTACAGATGTAGGAGCCCACTGCATGGCCATAGCAGTCTGTACCAGTGGTGGTGTGGTGGTTCCATGGGTTCTGAAGTCAAACTGTGTGGGATTCAACTCTAGTTCCCAATTTACTAGATAAAGGATGTATGTTCGGCAAGTTACTCAACTTCTCTTTGCCTTAGTTTCTTCATCTCTAAAATGTGAACAACAATAACAGTCCTCAAAATTACTTTTTAGAATGTTTTTGAGCGCTAAATGAGATAATACATACAACGCTTTTAATAGGGTGACTGGCCTATTTTAAAAATCTCAATAGATGTTCTTATTATCAAACCTTTGGGGCTGCAGCCGGAAGCCAATAATGAGATCAGCCATGTTAGCTAACTGATTTTTTTTTTTTCCTGTATAGTTGTTAGGAAGATTTGAATTAATTATCGGTAAAATTACTACTCTTAAATTTAATATTATGAGCTAATCCTGTTGTAGTTGTTTCAAGCATTTTCCTAGATTCTTGAAGTAGGATACTTTATTAGTAGTAGTCAAGATAAAAATTAAGAAGAGAGGAAATACGTGGAAGTTTTAAAACAAAAGAGAACCAAAGGAGGTTATGATTATTTAACTTTAAAACAAAACAGAGGCTTTAAGGGAAACCAGTTGGGAAACTTTGATTTCCATGTTTTTTGTTAGTAGGAAATGCTTTTCATGAAGAAATTGACACCAGTATGAATTGTATTTATAGGCTATTTTCTTTTTAAAAACAATCTCAGAAAACCTTTATCAACATTTCATTATTTTGCTGAATTAGAAAAAAGAAAGAACCAAGGGGCAAGATAAAAGTGGCCTCTTGCTCAATTCTCAGCTCATGGATTTGAGCACAGGAAGACTGCACACTTGGTGAGCTTTTTCTCAGTTTGTCTTTGGAAATACAGTTATTCTTGTGAATTCCTGGTTACTCTTTGGAGGAGGGAGCGCCAACACTCCAGGCTCACCCCTGGTTGTTTCTGCAAGTTACAGCATGACGTGAGAAGGCCCAAGTGAGGCTCACGCTTTGGTTTTGGCCACTCCATTAAGCAACAGTATAGCCCCCAAATCTGGGGAGAGGAAAAACAAGGGAAGATTATAAAGGATTTCTCTTCGACTGCAGGTGATAGATGCTTTCTAGGCCAAGCCACTGCAGAAGGAATCTCCCTCAATTAAATTATTTTTGTTGAAGGAAGAATTCAAAGAATGTTATATAAGTGCTAATTTTAAGAAAAGGAGATTTCTGCCAAGATATGAACTTGCTCTCCAAGATTTTTGACTTACAGAAATTCCATCCTTTGATATACTTCATCCTTCTACCAGTCATTTTGGTGCTGAAGGAGCTGGGAATTTTAGAAAGGATCAGGTGTTTCTCTGTCTTAACCTGGCCCAGCCGCATTCAGCCTTTAACAGAATTTTCTTAACTTTAATTTGCTTGGAACAGGCATGTATTGAGGAGCTAATTTTGGTGATTTTCTTGAGTGCTTAGGTAACTTAATAGGAAGAACAAATTCTGACGATTTTAATTTCAGTTTTTTCTGTCAGTCTCCTGCTTATCAGTTTCAATGCATACATTTAAAATTTCATGTGATTAAAATCAGTACATCTACATTATAATTTGCTTTTTGTTTACAATTATTTTATATTAACAATTCCATTGATTGACCTAGTTCACATATAGATATTGGGGGAAAGATGGATCCAGTGGCAGAAACACTGGACAGGAAATCAAAACACCTGGATGTGGATCTCAGCTTTGCTCTTTACTAGCTTCGTGATCCAAGGCAACTTCCTTATTAATACCTTTTATGGGCTTTCATTTAGTCTTCTGTATATTGAAGATAATGATTCTACCTGAAAGGATAATTGGTGGGGAGAATTAAATAAGATAATGTGTAAACACCTGACATAGAGTAGGCATGCTTACAGTTTTCTTTTCCTGTTTTTCTCCATTATGTAACTATGTCATCATTTGCTTGACCATTCCTCTGATGGACATTTTATGATATTTCTAATTCATTTTCTTGAATTAATTGATCACTCAGTTCATCTCTCTCTTCCTCTCTCTATTTAATCTCCCTCTCCTCTCTCTACATATGTGTATACACATATATATTTACGCATGTTTGTATATGTATATATGTACGTTCTTATATTACATCTGGATCTGTCATATTCTTAGAATACCAATACATGTGGTCCTTTTTCTGAGTTTATGGAGCATCCAGTAGACACAGGCCCTCTGGTGTAACAATCCTGTAAGGAACACTCTGACATGGTAGATACATGTTTTAAAGAGAAATATTCAAAGTGATCCTTCCTTCAGGGACTCCTTTTATCAATCCTTGCACCACAAACAGAGGAGGGAAGGTCGAGGACCCTTCTTTTTGTTAAAGCTGTGGCTGGTCTCAGCCTTGCAGGAGACAGTTGTTGGTGAGGCCTAATTTGTTTGGCTCCTTTCTGGTCATGGGTCATAGATAATTGCGACTTCACTGAGAGGTTCACTCCTTTAGCAGCATGCACATAAACCATCTTGCTGGAAGACTTTCTCTGATAAAACAGCCCAGTAGATTCCGGACAGCCTGCTGATAGAGTTTTAGGCAGGATGATCTAATTTCTCATTAAGACACAGCCATCCTCTCACCATATGCATGAGTTTAAACTTTCCTAGAGCAGACTTCAAAGTAGAAATAGAAATGTCAAGAGTTAGAATGCCTTCCATGTAGAAAGTAGAATCATTTAAAGAAATTTCTCTGGAAACACCTTAAGGAAAGGGAAACTTAATTGGTAAGAGATTCTGAATAAAAAAATGAAAGAGAATTCTGGGGAAGACCAGCAGTAGATAATTTCTTAAATTTTCATGGCAATACACCTGTGAAATGTTGATAAGGTAAACACATTGGCTCCTTAACATCAAAATTCATCACTTATTTTTTGAAGTAACACATTAATTATTTTGAATTCCCAGGATGTTTTTTAAAAAAACTCATTTTGATTAGCTTCCTTTTGCAATCACAAATATGGAAGCAGCACCTTACTGCTGAGGGAATATTTTGGCAGTAGGCAGGGCTAAGAAAGCATGTTGGCTTTCTCTTTCTTTTCTTTTCCTTTTTAAAGACAGGGTCTCAGTCTGATGCCTGAATGCAGGTCTCAGTCTGAAGCTGGAATGCAGTGGTGTGATCTTGCTACAGCCTCCACTTCCCAAGCTCAAGCCATCCCCCAACCTCAGCCTTCCAAAGAACTGGGAATACAGGTGCACACCACCAAGACTAGCTAATTTTTGTATTTTTTGTAGACTGGGTTTTGCTGTGTTTCCCAGGCTGATCTTGACCTCCTGGACTCAAGCAATCTGCCCACTTCGGCCTCCCAAAGTTCTGGGATTACTGGCCTTCTATGCTGGCTTGTCTACATCACTGTAATGTAAGATGTTGTTATTTAAAATGAAAAGGATTGCATTTTCTGCTTTATTAAATTTAAGGAAAGGTCTTTCTGTTTGCTCTCTTGTTGGTAATTTTGCCTCTTTAACATTTAATATACAGCACAATTTCTTTTTTCCTTTTGACATCTACTGTTTAGCTAACCTCAGGTTTTCCTTCTGTCTTTCCCTGCCCCTATTTGAGTAGATTTGGAAGGAATGTCATAGGTCTGATGACCATGGTCTAGTCCCTTAACCATATACTGTCAGAACTGGCATGGTTAAACTAATAAGGATGGGATAGATTGCCTGTATGAAAGAGCAGTATCATGTAGACAGAGGCAGTCAATAAAGTATTTGAATTGGTAAGTCAGAGAGCTATGGCTTACAAATTCCCAGTTAAGGCGTTGCACCTGTGACCTTTGATGCCTGCTGCTTATTGATTATTACACCTCTTTCTTGCTGGTTTAATTCTGATTGTCTACCTTCCTTGAAAGTGATAATATTTATTTAAAAAATAATGTAAACTAAAATGAGTTCTGCTTAGAAAATTATTGCTGATGCTCATTACATACCCTTTTTAGGTCATTAGAGGTATATTGGGGTGATTGACCTTTGGGAATTAGTGTGATAGTGTGAGGATGCCCTTTAAATGATTTATGAAGAGGAGCACGTCTAATGGAAGCACACTTTAGAAAATATACACCTCCAAGACTAATCAAAGTCTGTAGAACATTAAGTACTGTTGATTTGCATTTGGGCCCACTTACGTTCATGAGGGGAAATCTTTATGAAATCAATGATTTGTGAAAGAGAAATACTATGTTCTTCCAAAATTGTTTGTAAAACATATTTTAGAGAATATTTTACAACGTAAATGCTGTTTTCATTGCAAAGGTATAAAGATCTTTTTAGGAGGAAAAATGTGAAATGAATGTTTTGGAGGTAATTTCTATTGCCTTTTCTTTCCCCTTTTCCTCATTCTTAAGTTTCCTAGTTCCTTCCTTCTCTGCCTTTCCATTCCAAAGGTCACAGTATTTCCCCTGTATACAGTATTCCTTTTTTTTTTTTTTTTCCTTAAAATTGTCATGGATCATATTGGTAGCCTGGCTGATAAATTGATCTCAATGTTGTTAAGCCTGAATGTCAAAGAAGTAAAGGACCTTCATGTGGGGATGGGGAGTGAGAAGAGTACCTGTAATACCTTAGGCAATCAAGTGTCACTTGAACAGTTACTTTGAAAGCTTTGACAATACGCAGGTGTAGCATTGAACTAAAGACAGAGTATACAGTGAAATATGTTAATTCCTCTAAGTGTTTCTGAAATGATTGTTGGCATGTTTCTAGATTTTCTTTGCTACACTTACAAATAAAGAAAAAGTGAGCCTTGAAAGTGGATACTAGACATAAAACCACACTGATGTTCAAAGTTCTTTGTATCAACCCCTGCCTTCTTTTTGATCTGAATTGCTTTCCTGGATTTGCCTGATATTGTTGTTTAAGTTTACTTACTCAGTAAATTATTGACAATTTGTGTGTCATGAAGAAA